ATGGCTCTTTGAGTGTTTAAGGTTGCAGACCCTGAACTAGAAGACCTCCAAGTCTCTTCCAGCTCTATTCTAACTGAATTCCATTAACTCTAGTTGATTGCAAATGTTTTCCTAGATCCAAAATTGTGTTATGCTTGTTTCTTAACTTTTATTACTGCAGTTTATTCACTAATATGTCCTTCTGCTTTTGCATAGGCTATTATTTAATGCCAGAGAGATAAATAAACCTCTCATAGTTGCTTTTCTAGTATGCCATACTAGTCTTTAGATAAGGAAAATTCAGAGGTTAAACTGATAGAAGGAACTAACTCATATTACATTAAAAATTGGTCTGTGAAATGCAAGGGCTTCAAATTATAAACTCTGTTATTCCTATTCGTATAGACGTACAAAATGGAGTGATTATTGAATAAACTGTGCTGTTTCAGCCTCTCAGTTGTAATTTTATCTATGTAAATAAATTTGACTCCAAGAGATATGTTACTCTTACTACAAGTTAACTGGTGTGAAATATTTTATATATATCAGGCTATAGAAAACATCAGAGGGGTTTTTTTTCCCCAGAACTAACTCTGCCATTTCACTGTCAAATGGTGGTTTGTATTTTTATTGGCTTTTTCAAAAGAGGCCACAAATATCTTATCTCAATATTTCTCTTCCTTCATTGTCTTTGATAAAGTAATTTTTCTGCAAATACAATAAGATGGAGCAGATCATTGTCAAGATAAAGGCTTCACTGATAATGCCATGAAAACAAGGGAAGAATTGATTGGCTTTTTCTAGTGAGTTAAAAATTGTGTTCAACTTGGTTTGTTTGTTTGTTTGTTTAACTAGGCACTTGGATTCTTCTGCACTAATATTTTCCCAACAATTTATGTCCTCTTTGTAAGATTGTATATGTGTCAGCACTGCCATCATATGCTGAGCTTCCCATTTGGTAGCTGCCAGTCTGCCATGAACTATGGGGAGGAGTGAGCTGGACGCGTGGGAGGGAGGTTGGCAATTCATTGTACCGTCTCAAGCTCAAAGCCCTGGTAACAGTTCAACGATCAGCCTGCCATTGAAGAGAGCATTCCCAAAACAATGTATTCAAATACAGTTGGGCAATAAGCAGAGGGGAGGAACGGAATGGGGAAAGTTAACTGGGAAGTTTTGGCATGTGAACATCAGTTTCGGCTTTGCTACATTATATTCTACTTGGCTTTTAGTAAAGAATACCTTTCAACCCGAATGGAGTCAAGGGTCTTTCTTATCTAAAGGACCAAGTTGGGGCAGGTCTGACAATGTGTTTTATAGTTATACATAACATGATTTTTCACAAAGACAAGGATAGCTTCCTGATAAAGAGATGGTTAGTAAGAAGAATTAGTCATCATAATCAGCTATCAATTTAGAAACAGTAAGATGACAGATGCTTGCTCAGATTGGCTTGACATAGTATCAGTCAAATTTATTGTTCAGTTTGCCTCTTACTCAGTTATTGGAGTTTTACTATAATATTTGGGCCATACAACATATCCCTATTCAGTATAACATCACTTTTGCATTGAGATTCCATTTTACAGCATTAAAAAACGAGCAGGTTTCACCTATACACCGATTTTGTTAAATGTACTTATTCTCCTTGTAGTAGAGAAAAATACAGTAGCTTTTCGATCTTGGATGAAATTGTGTTTTCCTCTTAACTGACTTTTGTATGTTATTTACAGCAAAAGAGTAAGGCTAGAGGATAACTCAATATGAATATCAATATGACAGAAATTGCAGGGCCTAGTTGCAGTTTAAGCCAGAATAAACTGGAAATCCTGATAGCTCGTCTAATAGAAAGAGTTGAGAATTGATATTGTATCCTGCCAAACTGCAAGGAGCCAGAGAGACAGATCAGTCGCTGGGGGATTGTCCACACAGGGAGGATTAAAATGATTATGTGATCAGAAAGTCAAAGTCCTGTATCTCTATTTTATGTGTGTTGGAATACATGTGATGCATGATAAAAAAAAGCAATAGGTCTTTGATTGCCCAGTTGTGAGTCACGTTGACTTCTCCCATTCTGCGTTACAGCTCACACCAGTAACCCAGATAGTTAGCCCCAAATGTAGAACTATATACGAAATCTGTAGAGATTCTCAGTCATCCAGATCATGCTTTTTCAGGAGGCAACTGGACTTTCTTGTTTTTTTTTCTTTTGAAGACATTTCGTTTCTCATTCAAGAAGCTTCTTCAGCTCTGACAGGATAGTGGGGAATGGAAGGATTTATATTCCTTGCAGACAGCTGGTCATTTGCATCCTTTTAAGAGGGTCATTTGGGACAACTATATGTGAAGGGACTAAAAACATGGTTGAAGTACAGAAAAAGATCAGTAAGAATCCAAATTGAAGATACTGAGTGTAGAATGCAAAGATGGCTGTTGAAAACATAGACTTTAGCAACCCTAAACTCCAAAATATCTGCCTTGCACACCAATGCCTTATTATTTATACATATTTTAATATTTTGTAGAGACGTTTGGAAATCTGGCATCCCATCACTTCAACTCCAAGCTTTGAGTGACCAGAGACAGGAGCTTCAGGGTCTATATATTGCTTAATAGGAAAGTCAAAAATAGACTGGAGCTGTATTCTCCAGAATTATTGCCATTATCATCTTGAAGAAGAATTTCCCAGAGATTTATCTCATCAAGACCTGGGCTCCAATAGAGCTTTTAAAATTCTCTACCAGGTTGGTATGCGGGAGAAATGTGAAGAGTTTCTTTGAATTTTTTCCAAGGAACTACTCCCATAATTTATCAGTTATAGCAACTTTTAAATTCATGGCTAATTTAAAATAAAATAACTCCTATAGTCATCTTCCTTTGGAATGTAATGGAAAATAAGACATTAGAGAAGCTGTCTTTGGAGAGACTTGTGCAGTGAAGGATAAGTGAAAACACACCTCTTGGCCACTCACATTCTCTTCTGCTTTGAAATATTTTCATAAAGCAAATTCTCATCAAATTGAATGATGAATTCGATGGCACGAAAAAAGCATATGAGCTTTTTTTCACCTGCTGCTTAGAGTCAACTCCTTAGGTCCTCTTTCCCTCTATCCTTTCCTGATGAGAAAAATAAATATAAGAAACAAAAGCAACTCACAAGTAACACATTTTCAAACCATTCCAATAGATCAGTATTCCCTGGGTGCATGAACAAAATTTATACCTATAAGGTAACTAAATCCAAAATTCCAGGGGGGAAAATATTTTGGATATAGATAATAGCATCTGTATGGATACAGGTAGGTATCTTTTATGTGAATACCTCAAAAAATGCATCTTTTCTAACTCATTAGACTTAATGAAATTAAAGAAACCCACCTTTATCTTCCTAATATGTTACCCCCCTCTCTTTTTTTTAGCTAAGTCCCTATTTTTTGTTGTGTGAATGACCCAACCTAGGGGAGGCAAATATATAGGAACAAATCAGGGCTGGGTTCTAAAAATGTTTATTACCGGTTCTGTGGGTGTGGCTTATTTTGTGGGTGTAGCTTGGTGGGTAATGTGACTGGGTGGGCGTGGCCAACTTTTTTTTTTTTTACTTTTAAAAGCATTTTTTCTACAACCTTAAGAGGTTGCAGAAAAAAATGCTTTTAAAAGCCTCTGACGATCAGGCAACTCAGCTGGGATCGTCAGAGGCTTTTAAAGGCATTTTTTTTCTACAACCTCTTCAGTGGGGTAAGTGAGCGCTGACCGGGCCAGGGACCGGTTTGGAGGCATGGCCAGCCAATGTTATTACCAGTTCTCCAAACTACTACAAATTTTTACTCCCGGTTCTTGCAAACCAGTGCGAACCGGGAGCAACCCACCATTGATACAAATGTTTAGCCTGAGGAGCATTACAGTAGGCCAAAAATTACATTTTGACAGAACCAAAGATGCAGTGTGTGGCATAATACAAGATGTTTTAGCAGGATTCAACAAAAGTACATGAATAGTTAATATGGAGGGTAAATAGAAAGATTAGAGTTACACATTTTATTATTTATCTTGGAAGTTACTGCTTAATAACACAATAAGTATTGAAAGTCCCTTGTAGTTATCACAGAAAACAAAGCTACAGCTGAGAATACTTTTTTTTATATGTAGATAGTCTCTGATAAAAATAACACTGTAGCCCTAGAAAGTAAAGCTGAACAGCAAATAATTACACAGCTAGATGAACCAACAGCACATACAACTCTTTGGAAAGCTGTTTCTAGTCAAAATGATCCAATTCCCTACCTAAACCTGATGGTAGAGCTAATTAGTCCACCTTTTCCAATGTAGGTAATTTTGCATGCATTCATGCAAAAATCAATTCACTCCTGTTTCCACATTGTTTTGTAATCTGTTTCTCTGTCCACATGAATGCTCACATTATAATATATATGATCTGTTTGAAAATAGCTTTTAAAGGCACAATGAATGCATGAATTCTGATCTTCACATTAGCCTGGGGAATGTGAATCAAGTCCGTTTGTAATAAAATCAACCAATATTGAATTCCTGAAGTATTACAACTTAAAAACCACTTTATAATGCCTTGGTAAGGCCACCCTTGGAATACGGCATCCAGTTTTGGTCACCACGATGTAAAAAAAAAAAAAAATGTTAAGACTCTAGAAAACAGAGAAGAGCAACAAAGATGATTAGGGGACTGGAGGCTAAAACATATAAAGAACGGTTGCTGGAACTGGTTATGTCTAGTCCAGGGGTGGGCAATTGTAGCTCTTTTACAACCTGTGGACTTCAACTCCCAGAATTCCTGAGACAGCCAAGCTGAAGTCCACAGGTTGTAAAAGAGCCACAATTGCCCACCCCAGGTCTAGTTTGATGAAAAGAAGGACTAGGGGAGACATGATAGCAGTGTTCCGGTATCTCACGAAGCCGAGAACACCAGCCTGAAGATGACGAATGAGACTTCGTCGAAACGTCGCCAAGACACTTCCAATTTTACGTGGGAGAAGACCCGAATAACCAAAGACCTACATACAAACACCCGCGAAAACCTGAGAAAACAAATATATATATATGGACGAAACACCAAACAAGCCTTTCTTGAAATACCCTGGAGCTGCAAAAGCCAGCTGTGGGACACTGGAAAAAGATTGGGCTCTTTAAAAAAAAGAAATTCAGACAGAGAGTATGTTTGCACCAAAGGCTTTTTTGCCTTCCTATCTGAAATGCTGTTCAACTTAAGGGGCAGCCGAGGGAAATAACCCGAATAGTACAGCAGAGAAAAAACAAGTTTTATTTTAAATGTTTTTCCTGCATGGTGTTTTGCTAGACTGCCAAGCGAATGACCTGCAGCTCTCTTCATCAATCACTGGGATTCCATTTACTGGTTTATCCGGATTCTAAAGCACCACAATTGCATTTTACCTGCACAGGATAGAATATGGCCTGCAGCATGGGCAGGACATCGCTGAAGAAGAAATCCCAGGTTTCAGCCAACGTATCCAAAAGCTTCTGTCCTGTAAGTTAAAAACAAGTGAAATTAAACTGATGAACGTCTACAATGTAATTGTGTGGAAGGACAGGAAATTCTCGACCTAGGACCGTAATGGAGGCTATCCATTATGGCCGTAAAGCAGTCACCATGTGACTAGAATTGTATTTGCCCAGAATTGGAAAGGTGAAGAGATTCCTGCAGATGAAAATGTGATTTAAGAAACTATTGGAATGTGCAGAAATGCTTTGGTGGCGCAGCAGACTAAAGTGCTGTTAAGTAACACCAGCTGCCTGCAATTATTGCAAGTTCAAATCTCACCAGGCTCAAGGTTGACTCAGCCTTCCATCCTTTCGAGGTAGGTAAAATGAGGACCCGGTTTGTGGGGGCAATAAGCTGACTTTGTATAAAAAAGAACACCGCTTAGGGCCCCCCCCGAAAGCCCTACTAAGCAGGTATATACAAAAGTATGAAGGCTATTGCTTAACGCATTGTAAGCCGCCCTGAGTCTCCAGAAAAGGGCAGCATATAAATCGAACCAATAAAATAAATAAATAAATAAATAAATAGATTAACACTTGCAATTAGAGAGAAGGAAGAATCTGATTATTATAATATATGGGATTTATTTTATAAAGGGTTAAAGAATAAATATGAAAGTAATGCATAGTAAAGTAAAATAAGTTGAGAGAAATGTTATGATAATAGATATGTTAAATATTAATATTAAACTAATATTAATAATGAATATGGTGGTAAGCTTTAACTGTTTTGATACAAAAAAATTGTACCCAGACAACACACTGTTTAACGAATGACGGAATGTTTTGTATTAAAAGAAAATAAAAAAATCATTTAAAAAAAAAAACCATGTAACCAGACCATCTTTTAGGAACATTTTCGTGGCGGTCGTTAAATGATAACTGTGGTTGTTAAGCAAAGTCGAATCCATTGTGCGCTATGGTCTGTTTTTGCTGAAAACTAGAAGTAAACACCGGTTTTCGGCAAAAACAATATAAATCATATTCACATGACTGTGGGTTGCTGCAAATGGTTATATATGGTTGCTGAGTGCTTGAAAGTCATGTGACCATGCTGGGGGGGGAGGGCTGTTGGATCATAAGTACCTTTGGGGCAGGGGGGGGAGTACTGAAAGCCCCCTACAGATATTCCTTGATTTAAGACCACAATTGAGCCCCAAATTCCTGTTGCTAAATGAGACATTTGCCAAGTGAATTTTGCTCCGTTTTATGAACTTTCTTGTTAAGTGAATCACACTGCAGTTGTTAAATTAGCAACACGGTGGTCAAGAGAATCTGGCTTCTCCATTGACTTGGATTGTCAGAAGGTCGCAAAAGGAGATCACGTGACCCTCCCTGGGACATTGCGGCAGTCATAAGTATGAGTCAGTTGCCAAGCGCCTGAATTTTGATCACATGAACATGGGGACCTTGCAGTGGTCGTAAGTGTGAAAAACGATCATAAGTCACATGACAAAGTTACAGTTGCTGTAACTTTGAACCAGAGGTGGTATTCAGCAGGTTCTGACCAGTTCCGGAGAACCGGTAGCGGAAATTTTGAGTAGTTCGGAGAACCGGTAAATGCCACCTCTGACTGGCCCCGCCCCCATCTATTCTCTGCCTCCCGAGTCCTAGCTGATCGGGAGGAAATGGGGATTTTGCAGTATCCTTCCCCTGGAGTAGGGAAGGAATGGAGATTTTACAGTATCCTTCCTCTGCCATGCCCACCAAGCCACGCCCACCAAGCCATGACATGCCCACCAAGCCACACCCACAGAACCGGTAATAAAAAATTTTGAAACCCACCACTGCTTTGAATGGTCTCTTAAGCGAACTGTTGCAAGTCAAGGACTACCTATATTTCATAAAATCCAGGAAGGAAAGGAAATTCTTTATTTTGTTCCCTTTCAAAAGATAGATGGAAGGTAAAAGTTCTCTTCCACAGATCTCTAGAACTGCATTTTCTACTTGAGACCCATAAGTGGTTCCTAAACAATTATAGGGTAGATAATAAGCCACACAGTGTCTTCAGGTGTGAGCCTGACATTTTCTTGCTATCTGTTAAAGCAGCCTGTGGTTTTTTTTTTTCCAGGCATCTGTTATCTTGTCTTTAACGAGTAGCTTCCTTAAACCTGCTCTAAGGATTCCTCAGAATTTTACAGAAGCTCGGAAAACAAGTTTAATGAATAACTGAAAAATGAATAACTTTAATGAATAACAGAAAAAATGCCAGATTCACATTTGGGCAAAGTCCAAAGTAATTACTTTCTAAGCCTGCACAGCTTAATGCATAAACAACGACTTAATGTGTAGAATTAGAAACGTGTATTTTTCAGATAATAGCCTATTGCACGCTTTCACAGAGCTGCAAACTGAAGCATGCAAAACATTTTCGGATCAAACATCCCATTCCCAACTTCTTGGGAATAACATTGCTTGGAAACGGAAGCCAGAACAAACTGTTTTAGAAGCGTTGGGAGTTACACAGTGGTGCTATTCAGCTGGTTCTATCCAGTTTGGGCGAAAGGGCAGCGGGAGGCTCCACCCACCTGCCCAGATGTCATCACGTCTTGTTTTTGATGCTCTGTGCATGCACGAAGGTGGTGCGTGCGGTCCCGTTTGCGAACCGGTAGTGAAGGTACTGTATTTTTCGGAGTATAAGATGCACCTTTTTCCCCTAAAAGAGGGTGAAAATCTAGATGCGTCTTATACTCTGAATGTACCCCACCCAGCCTGTTAAATGGAGGTTTCAGAGGCTGAAAAAAGCCTCAGAAATGAAGCTTCAGAAAAAAAGCCTCCAAACAGAGCTTCAGAAAAAAAGCCTCAGAAACGAAGCTTCAGAAAAAAAGCCTCCAAACAGAGCTTCAGAAAAAAAGCCTCAGAAACGAAGCTTCAGAAAAAAAGCCTCCAAACAGAGCTTCAGAAAAAAAAAGCCTCAGAAACGAAGCTTCAGAAAAAAAGCCTCCAAACAGAGCTTCAGAAAAAAAGCCTCAGAAACGAAGCTTCAGAAAGCCTCCAAACAGAGCTTCAGAAAAAAAGCCTCAGAAATGAAGCTTCAGAAAAAAAACCTCTGAAGCTCTGTTTCGGAGGCTTTCAGAGGCAGAAAAAAAGAGTTTTTTCTGAAACGGAGTTTCAGAAGTTTCAGAGGCTGAAAAAAAAGCAAGGCACAGAGCTCACAACCAACCTGTTGCTAAAATTCACCTCTGGGAACAGCTGATTGGGGGTATTCCAGGAGGCCGATCCACCCACCAATCAGCTTTTTTCTTATTTTTTCTCCCCAAAAACTAAGGTGCGCCTTATACTCCGAAAAAGTGAATACCACCTCTGGAGTTACAGCTTTTGCCTACCTCTCGAGAAGAGTGTTTTTCAACCATGGCAACTTTAAGATGGGTGGACTGCCATGCTGACTGAGGAATCCTGGGAGTTGAAGTCCACCCAAAGTTGCCATGGTTGAGGAACGGTGCTCTAGAATGTTTTTGTCAAACGTTTCTGGATGTCGGGCTTCAGGTTTAACCCCTTTTCATATGTGTATACATGACGCAACCAACTTTTTCATCGTCTTGAGTCCTGCCAGGGTCTGGGCTGTGTGTGACATTGTGCGTTTTTAATTGCTTTACTTGTTTTTTGCATTGGTAAGCCACTTACGTCTACAGGAATAGGCAGCTGTAATGAATCCATCCTCTTCCTCATCATAGCAATAACACAATAAAGGTGGCAATGCTGTGTTGCACAGCCCATAGAAAAATGGACACTCCAACCAGGGTGCAAAGTTTACAGTCAAGTAAAATCAAGGCCTTGAAGAAGCAGCGTGCTTCTCCTGCCAACTCGGGGGGGGGGGTTCTTTAAAGAGCCAGAAAATAGTCTCACCTGCTCCTAAGGGGGAACCAAATCCCAACCAGACCCTATTTTCAGCAATTTAGCTGGGGACTTTTCAACAGGGCTCTTTAGAATAGAATAACAGCGTTGGAAGGGACCTTGGAGGTCTTCTAGTCCAACCCCCTGCTTAGGCAGGAAACCCTACACCACTTCAGACAAATGAAGTCTGAAGTCTTCTTAAAAACTTCCAGTATTGGAGCACTCACAACTTCTGGTGGCAAGTTGTTCCACCGGTTAATTGTTCTAACTGTCAGGAAATTTCTCCTTAGTTCTAGGTTGCTTCTCTCCCTGATTAGTTTCCACCCATTGCTTCTTGTCCTGCCCTCAGGGGCTTTGGAGAATAGCTTGACTCCCTCTTCTTTGTGGCAGCCCCTGAGAACACTGCTATCATGCGGAACACTGCTATCATGTCTCCCCTAGTCCTTCTTCTCATTTATGTTTCAAGAGGCTGATAATTTGAAAGAAAAAAAAAGAAAAGGAAAGATGAAGTGCCTTTCTGAGGCTACTGTTTGCTAAGCCGATTTGTTAGGCAAATTTCATTTCCTTGTTGGCCAGGCAAATCACTGGTTTGTGGTCGGGCTGGAAGGAAAGGCAGGAGGGTTGACATGTGTGAAGGAGACCAACAGGATGTTTAGTGAGGGCTGTTCAAGCATGAAAACAAGTTGGAAAGGGGTGCTTCAGAGGACATATGCAGGAGCACCAATTGTGGTGTGGAAGGGCGAGTATGAATGGGAGTGAAGCCCCTGCCTTGCCTCCCCAGCACAGAGCTATCGGGTGAATACAAGGCAGTTTTAGATACAAGCTTAATTGCAAAGCATATTATAATATTTCAACGATAGGTGTTTATGTTTGGGTAGAGGGACCAATCATATTAGCAAGTACACACACTAATAAAACCTACAAGTATACTTAGAAGCAGGAGTAAAATGCTCCCGGTTTGGACCGGACCGTCCAATCCGGTAGTGATAGCAGCGGGTGGTTCGGAGAACCGGTAGCAAAAATCCCTGCGCAGCCCCCCCCCATGCTCAGCTGAGTCACATGATCATCAAAGGCTTTTTTCCCCTTTACTTTTAAAAGCATTTTTTCTACCTCTTCTGACGAAAAAAATGCTTTTAAAAGTAAAAAAAAAAGCCTCTGATGATCGTGCGGCTCAGCTGGGATCCTCAGAGGCTTTTCAAAGCATTTTTTTTCTGCAACCTCTTGGCCGAAGAGGTGGTAAAAAAAATGCTTTGAAAAGTCTCTGACGATCCCAGCTGCGTTGCCTGATCGCCAGAGAGGCATTTTTTAAAAAAACCTCTCTGACGATCCCAGATGAGTTGCCTGATTGCCAGAGGCTTTTCAAAGCATTAGAAAAAATGCTTTGAAAAGTTAAAAAAAAAAAGTTGGCCACGCCTACCCAGTCACATTAACCCCCCCCACCAAGCCACACCCACAGAACCGGTAGTAACACATTTTACATTTCACCCCTGCTTAGAAGAGTTTTTAACTGAATGGTTTGAACTCTATTTTTTTAAGTTAGCATGCAAAACCCTTCTCCTGCACCATCTTATCCACAGGTTTAGGAATGCTAATCTCCTCTCCTGCCTGCCTCTCCATAACTAAGACTAAGTTTATTTTTCTCACTTCTTCTGAACTCACCCTTCTCCTGTTCTCCAAAGCCAGCATCATCTGGTATGTCTGTCTGATTTCCTTCTGCCCTCTCTTGCCATATATTTCATCTTCTCCTTTCACTCCAGCAGCATCTTCTGCCTGAACTAGACGATCCCCAGCTTCTGCCTACCAGCCCTGGCACCTTTTACAGGTAGTCCTCGAGTTACAACAGTTCATTTAGTGACCGTTCAAAAAAAAAATTACAATGGCACTGAAAAAAGTGACTGATGATCCTTTTTCACACTTATAACCATTGCAGCATCCCCGTGGTCATGTGATTTACTCCATGGTCATATGACCTTGCTTGGCCTCACATTTATATGAACTCACATTTATGACGGTTGCGGTGTCCCGGAGTCATGTGTGATTCCCTTTTGTGACCTTCTGACAAGCAAAGTCAAATGGGGAAGCGAGATTCACTTTACAACCGTGTTACTAATTAAAGAATTGCAGTGATTCACTTAACAAATGTGGCGAGGAAAGTCGTAAAATGGGGCAAAATTCACTTAACAAATTTTTCACTTAACCATTCATTTTGGGCTCAGTTCTGGTCGTAAGTTGAGGACTATCGGTATACTTCTTTCTTTCAAAACCTACCAGGCAGCTTGCAGGGGATTTTAAGAAGTTGAAACATTTTTTTCCCCTTTCCTTTTCTTCCTGTCAATTCTTTTGTGCCTAAACCATGTGCTTGATCGTCAGACCACAAGAGAAAACTGACCCTGACTCTTCATATATTATTGTTTCAGGGTAGTTCATACTTCCAGATGCGGTGCCTCTTTAAAGCAGCCACGTCATTTTTCAGGTTTGCGTGTAAAGACCCAGCTGCTTTAAAGAATCATCTCCTTAAAGCAATTGTGTGGCTGTTTCCATATGACTTCTTAAAGCAGTTGTATCCACTCTCAGGCTGTGTGTACAGGAGTCTGAAAAAAAAGGATACTGCTGCTTTAAAGAAATATAGTGCTTGCATTCCTGTGTCTTTTTAGCACCTCTCTGGAATCATTTTTTTTTTTTAAATTTTGATTTATATGCCACCCTTCTCCGGAGACTCAGGGCGGCTTACAATGCGTTAAGCAATAGCCTTCATCCTTTTGTATATTTATACAAAGTCAGCTTATTGCCCCCACAAACTGGGTCCTCAATTTACCTACCTTAGAAAGGATGGAAGGCTGAATCAACCTTGAGCCTTGGCGAGATTCGAACCTGCAGTAATTGCAGGTAGCTGGTCTTAATAACCAGCTTAATAACAGGGTGTCTTAGACCACTGTACTACCAAGGCTCTTGGTAGTATTTTGAAACATACACAGCCCTTTAATCACCTTCGTAAAATCGGATCTTATCCCTCAGGATCACCATGCCTTTTGTGAGCAGCTGGTTCTGAAAAGAGAACACAAAATAGTGTCAACTTTCATTACACACTGTATTTTAACTACAGAGGGTTTTTTTTTAATGACAGCTCACTAGAAAAAGAAACGTTCACAGCCTTTAATTATTTGGCCCCATACATAATATTACACTGTGTGGGATTTCCCATCTTATCATATCATGGCAGAAAAATGATAAAACCTTCAAAAGGTCTTCATCAGAGGTGGTATTCAGCAGGTTCTGACCAGTTCTGGAGAACTGGTAGTAGAAATTTTGAGTAGTTCAGAGAACCGGTAAATACCACCTCTGACTGGCCCCGCCCCCATCTATTCTCTGCTTCCCAAGTCCCAGCTGATCGGGAGGGAATGGGGATTTTGCAGTAACCTTCCCCTGGAATACGGAGGGAATGGAGATTTTACAGTATCCTTCCCCTGTCATGCCCACCAAGCCATGCCATGCCAAGCCATGCCCACAGAACCGGTAGTAAAAAATTTTGAATCCTACCACTTGTCTTCATCCCTTTGAAATGGGACAGAGAGGGTAGAATTATACAGCCTAACAGTGTTTGCATGTAGTTTTTAGATGAGGCCAAGAAAAGGCAGGGATTTAATATATCCTTTAAATCTTGGTATTTAAAACTTGGTATTTGTCTTTCAATTATTTTGCATTCTAGGAAGACCTACCAGCTTGTAATTCTTGCTGAAAATATGGACTGCTTTCTTTAGTCCAGCTATCAAGATGTGCTAAATAACCCATTCTGAAGATGCCCTATTATCAGAAGTATTTTTATTATTATTTTTATTTTTATTATTTTTATTTTTATTATTATTATTTTTATTATTATTATTATAATTATTATTTAATCTTTAGTGAGATTCACAGCCTTTGAGGCTGGTTAATAGCTCAGCAGCTCGAGTCCTAACTAAGGACCTAGGAACTGTTAAGGTATCGTCGGAGGATATAAGCTGTTCCGAGTAAGGTGGTTTTTTGTAGAGTCAAAATGTTCAAGTCCGGTAAATTTAGAATTTCTAAATAGAGGGGTAGCCCTTTGGGTATTGCTCCAAGGGCTCCAATTACAATCGGGACAACACACGATTTCTTTTTCCACAGTTCCTCAACTTCAATTTGCAAGTCCCGGTACTTTGTGATTTTTTCTTGCTGCTTATCTTCAATCTGTGCATCACCAGGTATTGCAATGTCAATGAACCATACTTTTTTCTTTTCAACTATTGTTATGTCAGGGGTGTTGTTGTTGTTGTTGTTGTTATTACCATCATCATCATCATCATCATCATCTGATATTTTGGGAATTTTAGCACCTACATTAGCCCTATGCCCTGTATGCACTTCCTTGGGGGTTGTGTTTGACCCCACTCTCTCAGCTTTTAGAAAATCAATAAGGGTGCATCTCTGCCAACAATTGCATTAATTTTAGGATTTAAGTATCTGTAGATTTTGTTAACTCCTTTTCGTTCTCATCTGAGTAGGGGGGGGAAGAGTAGAAATCTATTAAACAAGCAAATAATTTGGAGGTTGTTTTAGAGCAAAGGTTCTAATTGGCCAGACGTACTTCATACCAAACATAGTATTTATCAAGGAGAACAAATTTATATCCAGGGCACCATATCAAGATTGTGATTAAAACCATACAATCAAAGCTGTACCATCCCTTATATGTGTTTCAATGCACATGAAAAGAGGCAGGGCTTTGATCCCACAGTTACAGCTGCCATCTTGATTTTTACTCTCGGGCAGTTGATATTTTACCTCAGGGGTGTCAAACTGGCGACCCGTGGGCTGGATGCGTCACACGCAGGCAATGGCCACCCCAAGTCCGTGAAGGGAAAAAACGTCGCGATATGTCACGTGACAGCAACGTGACGAGGCGAGTTTAACACCCGTGTCTTACATGAACCACTTGCACTGATTATGTTAACAGTATTTTGGAAAGCTATCATCTTTAAAAGATCCTTCTTGAAAGTATATATACTCTTTTCAAATATGATATACAAGTTTTATATGCTAATCCATACATGCCAATTTTTTGTACCCACATAGGACCGTTTTGCAATTATTTTGCAAATTACCATGACACCAAATCACCTTCTTACTGGACTAACTGGCTTACAATGGAAGGAATCTTTGCTGCCTGAGAACACTTATATGCACTTCTAGTGGGATCCAGACACGAAGCAAGCATTGTGTTTTTCGTCCAAGTTACAGTATTCTTTCTGGATATGGTTCTTTGAACCTGAAGCATCTTAAGATGAAGCACAGTGCAAATAACCAAACAGAAAATTTTGGTGTTTAAATTTCTTAGAAGGGCAAAAGCAGCTATCAGTAATTTATTTGGTAACTTGCTTCAGCTAATAATAAAACTTTCACTAAAACACTGAAAGAGAAATCACAACAAAACAGAAGATTATACAAACCTGTAAATATTCAGTAAAAAAAGATCCCAACTCAGTTTTCAGAAGCTGCCTGTTCCAAAAAGAAAAAAAAATCATAATAAATGAAAAAGGTCATGGTATTTTAGTATACATTTATTGAATTTTATGTTACTCATGGTTGTTGCAGTACAAATGCACAGATTGTCAGAAAACATGATGAGAGAGGACGATGCTTTACTGGAATTCTCTAATCTGAGTCCTGACAACTACACAAATAAGCCACATTCTTTGTATGTACTTTTGTTTCCTACCTAAATAGCAATCAAACCTAATTCTATTAATAGGTGCTGAGCAGAGGTGGTATTCAGCAGGTTCTGACCAGTTCTGGAGAACTGGTAGCTGGTAGTTCCACGAGCTGCACTGGTTGCCAGTTTGCTTCCGGATCCAATTCAAGGTATCAGTCCTTACCTTTAATGCCCTGCATGGCATGGGTCCTGGTTATCTGAAGAATCATCTCACCTCATTGGGATTGGCCCACCCCACTCACGCCGGCAGAAGGGGCATGCTGCAGACCCCATCTTTTAAGGAAATTCAGCTGGTGGAGCCCCTTTTCTCCCGTGGCTCCCATCCTCTGGCACATCATGCCCTCCAAATTGAGATCCACACCCACATTTTTGGCCTTCCAAAAGGATGTGAAGGACTTGGCCCTACCAACTAGTCAAGGCCAAGGGTGGGCTGCTGGCGGTTCGCAGGGGTTTCGGAGAACCTCTAGCTAAGATTCTGTGTAGTTCGGAGAACCCTCAAATCCCACTCCTGGCTGGCCCCACCCCTCCCAGAAGTAATTGCAGGGCATGCGCGGAGGCTCACAAGGGAGAAAAACAGGCCTACTGGAAGTTCAGGAAGGGCCTCCGGAAGGCCTCTGGAGCCTGAGGAGGCTGTTTTCGCCCTCCCAGAGACTCAAGGGATGGCTCCGGAGCCTGGGGAGGGCAACCCTCCTGGCTGTGGTGCAGGAGGCTGACTAGGCCACAACCACCCAGCAACCAGGCAGAGAACCCCTTACTAAAATTGCTACCAACCTGCCTTCCATTGAGGACCTGTATACTGCATGAGTCAAAAAGAGGGCTGTGAAAATATTTATAGACCCCTCACATCCTGGACATAAACTATTTCAACTCCTACCCTCAAAATGACGCTATAGAGCACTGCACACCAGAACAACTAGACACAAGAACAGTTTTTTCCCTGAACACCATCACTCTGCTAAACAAATAATTCCCTCAACACTGTCAAACTATTCACTAAGTCTGCATTACTATTAATCTTCTCATCGTTCCTATCACCCATCTCCTCCCACTTATGACCGCATGACTGTAACCTTGTTGCTGGTATCCTTAAGATTTATATTGATATTGTTTCCTAGTAGGATTCAATTGCTTATTTGTACCCTATGACTGTCATTAAGTGTTGTACCTTATGATTCTTGATGAACGTATCTTTTCCTTTATGTACACTGAGAGCTTATGCACCAAGACAAATTTCTTGTGTGTCCAATCACACTTGGCCAATAAAAAATTCTATTCTATTCTAAAATTTTTGAAGCCCACCAATGGGATCAATGGCCCCAATGGGATCTTATTCTGAGGGTGGATAATAGAGTTATGCATGCATCCTGTTCTTGAAACACATTAACTTTAAACCAGAGATATTTTTATTAGGGATTTTACCAGAAATGTATAATAAAGAACTGAGATATTTAATTGTGAATGTTTTAACAGCGGCTAGAATTGTATTTGCTAAAAATGGGAAAAAAGAGAAAATACCCACTGATGATGAAGTTATTAAGAAAGCTATGGAATGTGCTGAAATGAGTAAATTGACATTTGAAATTAGAGAACAGGAAGACAAACAATACTATTTGATATGGGATTTGTTTTATCAATGGCTAGATAATAAAGCATGGAGATGAAGTATGAATTATGAAATTAACGTAATGACAAAATATATGAAGTGGTTTTTTTTTTTATGGGAGATAAGCCTTTGTCAAATAATCGTTAAATGAGAATAATAATATAAAGGGATATATAAAATTGTCAAATAAGAGAAATTAAATTATTTGTAATCTTGGATATGGGATTAAGCACAAAAGAATTTTAACTGATCAACACACCTTCTGTGATTGTATTTGAATGATGGTTGTTTTTATGTTTTGTTATGTTTAAAAATAAAAAAAAAATCAAAAAACAAAACGAGGAGACGGCGGGTGCTGGTGGAGCCTATGGAGAAGTTGCCAAAAGCCTACAGTTCTCCCCTTTACTCCAACAGGCAACGGCGATGGATGTCGAGCGCCACTTGGGCGTGTGGTGCAAAGCTAACGCCAAGTGGCTGGCTACCCAGGAGCTCTACCAGGTGGAGGAGGACTTCAGCTACCAGTCTGCGCTCCAGGAGCCGATGAGAGAACACCCGGTCACCTCGACAAGGGAGCAGAGGACCATGATCCTCAAGTGGAGGAGGACCCCTGGACGTCAGCGAGTCGGTTTTCACTAGGTCGTGCCAATATGACATGTCCAATAAATCTATTCTTTGAGGAATCTACCTGCCTCGGTAGTTTTGATTGCTATGGGTATGTTACTTGAAACCCTGACAGCCAGTTTGGTGTAGTGGTGAAGGCATTAAGCTAGAAACCGGGAGATTTTGAGTTCTAGTCCCACCTTAGCCACAAAGGTAGGACTGGGTGACCTTAGACCAGTCATGTTCTGTCAGCCCTACAAAGGGGGCATTGGCAACCCACATCTGAGAAACCTTGCCAAGAAAACTACAGGGGCTTATCCAGACAGTCTCCAAGAATTGGACATGATTGAATAGAAGAAAAATAACTTGTGAGCGATAGGCAAAGGTTGATTTCTCAGAACTCTTTTCATAGCAAAATTAATGATTACACAATAGTGGTGGACCAAAGTATATTAAAGTTTCCTGGATTGAACTTGGCTCTCCCTGGTCCTGCTGTAAGACTCTCAAACTAACTTCTCCCAAGTTTGAGAATAGAATTAAGGCTGACATTGGCTGGTGGTTTACTAAGATGAGAAAATGGCCATATTATAATCTATTACCGTGATGGCGAACCTATGGCACGCGTGCAGAGGTGGCACACAGTGCCCTCTCTGTGGGCACATGAGCCGTTGCCCCAGCTCAGTGCTGTGCTGTGCATGCACGCACGCCTCCCACTGGCCAGCTGGTCTTCGGGTCTCTGCTGCACATGCATGGGTGGCCACATGTGGGGAGGGGCGCATGTGCAGGGTGTGTGTGAGGGGCCCTGTGCATGCATGCATGTGGGTGTGTGCATGCATGCGCAGGGAGGCAGGGTGCATGTAGGGGGCTGTGTGCACATTGCATTTTGGGGGTTCGGCCACGCACGCACATTCATGCACACACACGCTTTGGGCAGGTGGTAATGGGAGCGACATGGCGTTCCCATGTAACACCCCTCCTGCGCGAGTTGCACTGGCTCCCGGTGGTCTTCCGGGTGCGCTTCAAGGTTTTGGTTACCACCTTTAAAGTGCTCCATGGCTCAGGACCTGGGTACTTGCGGGACCGCCTACTACCACCAATAGCCTCCCACCGGCCGGTACGCTACTCATAGAGAGGGGCTCCTCTGGGTGCCGTCGGCCAAACAATGGCGACTGGCAGCCCCCAGGGGGAGAGCCTTCTCTGTGGGGGCACCTACTATCTGGAATGAGCTCCCCCGGAGATACGGAGGATTCCGGATCTGCGCACCTTCCGCCGCGCTCTAAAGACCTTTTTATTTCACCAGGCGGGCCTGGCCTAACTTTCTCCCTCTTTTTAAACAATTTTAATATTTTAATATTTAATATTTTAATATTCAAAGTTTAAATTTGTTTTAAATTCATTGGGGTTTTAATTTGTCTGGGCCAAACTATTTAATTCGATTTTATTTCTGCTTTTTAAATTTTGTATGTATGCATTTTATTGTTGGCTGTTCACCGCCCTGAGTCCTTCGGGAGTAGGGCGGTATATAAATCAAATAAAAGTAAAAGTAAAGTAAAGTAAAGGGCACTCAGTCCGGAAAAGGTTACTCATCCCTGATCTATCATGATCTAATGCAATTTCATCAGTTGTGCTCCTTTGCTACTTGTCCTGCAGGCAGCCATACATTTCCTTATTTCTTACAGCCAAATGGGAAGGAAGAATCGGGATCAGGAAACACAGCAGTTAAGACTTTGGTCTTAGAACTTGGTGTTATCATTTTCTTGGCCTTTTAAAATTTGAGCCAGGATGAGGTAGTTAACAAATGTAGTCTCAAATCAGCCTCAGGAAATGGGTGGTGTCACCGACTTCCTTGGTTTTAGAACAGGAAATGCATCTTTCTAGGGGCAGAAATTCTACCCAGTTCCCCAAATTGAAGATTCTACTTTCTTGCAAATTTGTATACGTTAAGCATGGGGGTTCTAACTAAGGATAATCAGGATTTTCTCTTCATAGCTCAATGTATTTTTAAGGGTATACTCAAAGATCAATGAAGACGCTCAAAAATGAAAGCTGTTAATTCGAATGAGTTTTTTTTTAAAAAAAGATATAAGGAAATATTTTTTTTATTAGAAATAAGCAAAAAACATTAATCGTAAGCTTTTCTCTGGGTCAATGACTTTCATTTGAGGAAGAAGAACAGGGCCAAAACAAAAAACAGGACAACTCCATTTTACTCCCGATATTCTGATAAATATCTGGCCACCAAATCAGATACTGTTTAGTGAAGAGGTGTCAAACTCAAGTCTGGGGGCCGGATTTGGCCCGCGGGGTACTTAGATTTGACCCGTGGGCAGCCCTGGAAACAGCGAAGGATCGGCCTGCAGTGCCTCTGCCAGCGAAAACAGAGTTCGGAAGGACTTCCGTTTTCGCTGGCAGAAGGTTGCAGGAGGCCGTCGCAGCCAAAAACAGAGCTCAGGAGCCTGTTTTCATTGGCAGAGCTCTTGGGCCACCACAGGCACCCCAACACAAGTGATGTCGAGTTGGCCACGCTCCCCCTGGCTCCCCCAAGGTCGAACACAACCCTGATGCGGCCCTCAATGAAATCGAGTTTGACACCGCTGGCTTAGTGTAACTGCTGAGGTTCAGAGATCAAAGCCAGAGGGGTACAGGAATCCTACCTCTCACGGTAGGAGTGATCTACTCAAGAAGAAGCTACAGGTAGTCCTCGACTTACAACAGTTCATTTAGTTCAAAGTTACAATGGCACTTTAAAAAGTGACCTATGACCATTTTTCACACTTACAACTTTTGCAGCATCCTCATCCTCATGCGATCAAAATTCAGATGCTTGGCAATTGGTTCACACTTATGACGTCGCTGTGTCCCAAGGTCATGTGATTCCCCTCTTGTAAAGCAAAATCAATGGGGAAACCAGATTCCCTTAACCACGGTGTTACTAACTCATCAACTGCAGTGATTTGTTTAACAACTATGCCAAGAAGGTCGTAAAACGGGGGGAAAAGTCACTTAACAAATGTCTCACTTAACAACAGAACTTTGGGGCTCAATTGTGGTTGTAAGTCAAGGACTACCTGGCTTAGAGTCTTAACTGGTTATGATCAATACTCACTACCCTCTGAGTGCAAGCCAGGACTTTCCAAGAATTGTGCTCCTCCTTGATAGTCTGCAGATACTTGTGACAACGACCAAGGAAGCACCTCTTAGCTTCAAAACTTGTCTGATCAGGGAACCTGCTTTCTTGTTGACCTTAGTCTCTCTTAAAAATGTAAAGGTTCCCCTTGCAATATGTGCTAATCGTTCCTGACTCTAGGGGGCGGTGCTCATCTCCGTTTCAAAGCTGAAGAGCCAGCGCTGTCCAAAGACGTCTCCGTGGTCATGTGGCTGGCATGACTAAACGCCAAAGGCGCACAGAACGCTGTTACCTTCCCACCAAAGGTGGTCCCTATTTTTTCTACTTGCATTTTTTACGTGCTTTCGAACTGCTAGGTTGGCAGAAGCTGGGACAAGTCACGGGAGCTCACGCCGTTACGCGGCACTAGGGATTCGAACCTAGTTTCTCTTAACTGCTGGTTAACATTGAGTACTTTATATCCTGAAACTACAAGTAGTCCTTGACTTATAACAGTTTGTTTAGTGACCGTTCGAAGTTACAATGGCACTGAAAAAAGTGACTTGTGACCGTTTTTCACCCTTATGACCTTTGCAGCATCCCCATGGTCACGTGATTTACATTCGGATGCTTGACAATGATTCACATTTATGACGGTTGCATTGTCCCGGGGTCATGTGATCACCTTTTGCGAACTTCGGACAAGCGAAGTCAATGTTGGAGCCAGATTCATTTGACAAACGTGTTACTGATTTAACAACTGCAGTGATTCACTTAACAAACGTGGCAGGAAAAGTCGCAAAATGGGACAAAACCCACTTAACAAATCCCTCACTCAGCAGCATAAATTCTGGGCTCAACTATGGTCGTAAGTCAAGGACTACCGGCACTTAGCAATTCTGCCCAAACTGCTTTTTCAACTATTCACCTTAACTTTTTACTATACTGTGTGACTCCTTCAAAGAACAGCACTATGAGTCAGTGCCATGTGAAAAAGCATCTTGAAGTTTCTTGGAAGCCCAATACCACCACCACCAAATTCCATTCTGATCAGCTAAGTTCTGTTAAGCAAAAGGGAGCTTGCATTTCAAAGGAGAAAAAAGTGGGTGGGAAGCTCCGAAAACTGGTTCAGACTTGTTGGTGGGACTTCCTAAGCACTTGCACAGGCTTAAGAGTGGACAGCAGCTGCTTGCTCAGTTTCCTGTTCATTTTCCTGAAGGCATGGAGTTCACTCTTAGGTTAGAGCAGGGCAGGGGTGAAACGTAAAATTTGTTACTACCGGTTCTGTGGGCATGGCTTATTTTGTGGGTGTGGCTTGGAGGTCATGTGACTAGGTGGGCGTGGCTAGCTGGTCAGAGTCATTTCTGGAAGGTCCTCGCACTTACGACCAGTCCTCGCACTTACGACCCGACTCATTTGTTTGCTTTTAACACTGATCAGCTATAGGACGGCCCTTTGAAGCCCCACGGCAAGAGTTTAAACAGTTTTTTTCCCTCTAGCCATCAGCTGGGACTCAGGAGGCAGCAATAGATCGGGGGTGGGACCAAATAAAAGGTAAGAATAACGGGGGGGGGTGGGAGGGTGGGGGGGAGGAGAACCGGTTCGGTGACGTCATATCGTCACCGCTACCGGCTCGGCCGAATTGGACCAAACGGGAGGAACCCACCACTGGTGTAATGTGACTGGGTGGGCGTGGCCAACTTTTTTTTTTTTTTTTTAACTTTTCAAAGCATTTTTTCTAATGCTTTGAAAAGCCTCTGCCGATCAGGCAACTCAGCTGGGATAGTCAGAGAGGTTTTTAAAAAATACCTCTCTGCCGATCAGGCAACTCAGCTGGGATCATCAGAGACTTTTCAAAGCATTTTTTTACCACCTTTTCGGCCAAAAGGTTGCAGAAAAAAATGCTTTGAAAAGCCTCTGATGATCCCAGCTGAGCAGCGCGATCATCAGAGGCTTTTTTTTTTACTTTTAAAAGCATTTTTTCGTCGGAAGAGGTGGTAGAAAAAATGCTTTTAAAAGAAAAAAAAAAAAGCCTCTGATGATCGCATGGCTCAGCTGGGGGGGGGGGGGGGGGCAGGGATTTTTGCTACCGGTTCTCTGAACCACCCACCGCCATCGCTAGTGGATCGGGCGATCCGGTCTGAACCGGGAGCATTTCACCCCTGGAGCAGGGGTCTCCAACTTGGCAACTTTAAGACTTGTGGACTTCAACTCCCAGAACTCTTACCCCCACAGTACTGGTTTCCAGAGAGTTAAGGCATCTGTGTACCAAGTTTGATTGAAATTGCTCGTGGCATTCCAGAGTTATGCTGGAACACACACAGAGCCATTTTTATATATATAGATTGGTAATTTTACTACCCTTATTCTCAATCATCCTTTAGTTCCTTATATAAACCGCATCATACTTTTTTACCCTATTAATTTTATTCTTAAACTTTCAATTAGAATTTCACTTGCATTTGTTATATGATTTTAGAGCTTGTTTTACACTAATTCAATGTGAACTCTTTTGTTTTGTTGGTCAATGACTGAAATGAAATGATGGCCTGATTGGTTCTCCAAGCAAATTTAAAGCCCAAATGTTTGACGATTTGCTATGAGGATTCTCTCCGTGGGAAATGAAATCTCCGTACTGGCAGCAAGACCTGGCTGGGTGCAGCACAGAACATTATGCATTTCTGCCTCCCTACTTGGCCTTAAGGATTTGCAATAACTGACTCTACCCATCACTGGGTCCATGCATGGATTTTACTGATATTAGAGCATCCCCATCGCATTGCACAAATGGCATGGATTAGTCCCATCTCATTGCACAAATAGCATGGATTCTGTAACCTGTGCAAAGTTGCCATATAGACATCAGATCATATGGCTCCTATGACCCCTATGGAACAACACCTTACAAGTGAGGGCCAAAAACCAAGATGGCGCTCGCCACCCTGTTACTGAAGCTGCCATCTTGACTTTTTGACCCAATCTGCAGATGGCAAGCCTGCAACTATGAGCCACGGTGGCACAGTGGTTAGAGTGCAGTACTGCAGGCTACTTCTGCTGCCTGCCGGCTGCCTGTAATTTGGCAGTTCAAATCTCACCAGGCTCAAGGTTGACTCAGACTTCCATCCTTCCGAGGTGGGAATAAAATGAGGACCCAGATTGTTGGGGGCAATATGCTGACTCTGTAAACCGCTTAGAGAGGGCTGAAAAGCACTGTGAAGCGGTATATAAGTGCTATTGCTAACTAACACAACCCATCAAAGGCAAATCACTTGTGCCGATTTACCACCAGCCGATCAAATACTTAGAAGTGAAGGCTGGGCAGCACAAGCAAACTGCAGCCAACGACTTAAAAGCCAGACATCATCACACCCCAACCAGCATCTAAAAAGCCACATACAACAGGCACTGTAAATACCACATAGAGTATTTTCTCTAGCTTTAGAGCTAGAGAAAAGTTCCCTGAAGATGGGCTTCAGCGCGAGTCCGAAAGCTCAGAAGACAAAACCTCTGGTTCCGGTGACTGACCCAGATTGGAGCCTGCAGCATTATCCTGGGACATGTTATATTCATCTTCATTCTCAATGATTTAATTAGGGCATCAGTCAGAACCCTTTGTTGTTTGAATGATTGGATATAGATCTTTTCTTTCCTGACCTATTCTTTTTCACCCCAGTGACTTTCAGGTACATTGGACTGTGACACGTGCATCGTCTTGCATAAATTAGCGTATTTTTCGGAGTATAAGACACACTTCCTCCCCCAAAAGAGTGTGAAAATTTGGGTACGTCTTATACACCAAATGTATAAGATGAGGCACAGAGGAGGCGATGGTCTATGGCAATCCCTGCAGCCTGGAACAGCTGATTGAGGGTATTCCGGGAGGCCGATCCACCCGCCAATCAGCTGCTCATGCTGAATCAGGCTGCAATAATGTACTGAAGCTGACCTGGTTGTTCACTATTTGCTGCAAAGACGTGTCAGAGTTTGCAGCAGCAAGCAAAAGGAGAGGAGCAGAGGAGAGGAGTTTCAGTTTCAGAGATCAGCACAGCATGCAGCTTTAGAACAATTGACCTAAGCCACGCCCAGGCTCCTTTTTTTTTTTTTTAAATTTGATTTATATGCCGCCCTTCTCCGGAGACTCAGGGCGGCTTACAATGTGTTAACAATAGCACTTCATACTTTTGTATATTTATACAAAGTCAGCTTATTGCCCCCACAAACTGGGTCCTCATTTCACCTATCTTAGAAAGGATGGAAGGCTGAGTCGACCTTGAGCCTTGGAGAGATTCGAACCAGCAGTAAATTGCAGGCAGCTGTGTTAATAACAGGGTGCTTAGACCACTGTACTATCAAGGCTCCTTGCTGTCTCCTTTCTTGTTGCTCACACAGCAAATACTGTTTCTGTTTCCAAACAGTCTCAAACACTGACAGGACGCTAGCCAGATGAATACTGATGGATGCTGGTAGGCAGAGGCAGAATTTATTTTTTTCTTATTTTCCTCCCCCAAAACTAAGGTGTGTTTTATACTCCGGAACGTCTTATACTTCAAAAAATACGGTATTTAAAACTACTGCTGAGTATTAATCCATTCGGTCCAATTAGTTGTTGAAAATGCTTAGAAAGCAGTGAGAAATTTATCTAGCAGCAGGGATAGAAAATGTTGACTTACTCACCTGACTCCTTCATTGAGATTGTAAAGATCGTGGTCCGCAAGGCCCTTTCTCTGAAACACAGCTATGACTCCATTTTGGATACTGCAAGAGAAAGATGAAGAAATATAGACTGAATTCCTAATAATAATACTTCAGTAAGCACGGTTTATTTTGGGAGGCAAGAACCCCCCGCTCAGAGGTGGGTTTCAGCAGGTTCTGACCAGTTCTGGAGAACCGGTAGTGGAAATTTTGAGTAGTTAGGAGAACCGGTAAATACCACCTCTGACAGGCTCCACCCCCATCTATTCTCTGCCTCCCGAGTCCCAGCTGATCAGGAGGAAATGGGGATTTTGCAGTAATCTTCTCCTGGAGTGGGGTGGGAATGGAGATTTTAAAGTATCTTTCCCCTGCCATGCCCACCAAACCATACCACACCCACCAAGCCACAGCCACAGAACCGGTAGTAAAAAAATTTGAATCCCACCACTGCCCCAGCTGCTGCAGATGTTAAATTAGACTGTCAAAAGAAAAGATAAAAGACTCTGGAGTAGAATCTTCAGGCCAGCTTCAAATTTCCCACTAAGCTAAAACCAAACTCAGTTTCCTTTAAGTTCCTGGTAACTACATTAACTACCATCTTTCAGTCATCTGTTAAGTTGTCTGACTCAAATGGGGTGACATGATTGCAGTGTTCCAATATCTCAGAGGCTGCCACAAAGAAGAGGGAGTCAAGCTATTCTCCAAAGCACCTGAAGGCAGGACAGGAAGCAATGGGTGGAAACTAATCAAGGAGAGAAGCAATCTAGAACAGGGGTCTCCAACCTTGGTAACTTTGGTCAAAGCTGGCTGAGGAACTCTGGAAGTTGAAGTCCACAAGTCTTAAAGTTGCCAAGGTTGGAGACCCCTGATCTAGAACTAAGGAGAAATTTCCTGACAGTTAGAACAATTAATCAGTGGAACGACTTGCCTCCAGAAGTTGTAAATGCTCCAACACTGGAAGTTTTTAAGAAGAAATTGGGCAACTATTTGTCTGAAATGCTATAGGGTTTCTTGCCTGAGCAAGGGGTTGGACTGGACTAGAAGATCTCCAAAGTCCCTTCCAACTCTGTTATTCTGTTAAATAACAGCATGGGGAAATCACATTGGTCCTCCATTCTGCCCACTTTCAAAGGGCATGAAGAAGTAGTATCAAACTCATAACACCGCCTCTCGTTTGGAACAACTTTGCCACTGGTGTTAACTCTAGTCTTCCTTAAGGTACTTTAGGAGCAAGCTTAACACAGATTGTCCTTGATTTATGACCATGATGGAGCCCAACATTTCTGGAGAAAACGTCCTGGAGGAACGTTGTCCATGGGGTCGCGATGGGTCGGACACAACTTCGCAACTAACAACAACAAAAAACCAACACAGGTACTTTTTGGGTAATATGTCTATGGAGATTCTCAGTCATTCAGGTCATAGTTGTCCCAAAGATGCTTTTTTCAAGAGGCAACTGGACTGTAACAGTAACAGAGTTCGAAGGGACCTTGGAGGTCATCTAGTCCCACCCCCTGCTCACGCAGGAGACCTATACTAGGGATTCGAACTGCCGACTTTTCTGATCGACAAGGTCAGCATCTTAGACCCTGAGCCACCTAGCCAGGCTGTCTTGTTTTTCTTTGAAGACTTTTCGCGTCTCATCTAAGAAGCTTCTTCAGCTCTGAAGAGCTGGATAAGGAGCAAAAGCGTCTTCAAAGAAAAACCAGACAGTCCAGGTGCCTCTTGAAAAAGCACCTTCGGGACAACTCTTTGGGTAATAAATACCAGGATGTTGGAGGAGGCAAAAAAGTCAATATGGCAACCACAATTGTGTGATTGTGTGTCCTTTTTACATGTATCAGCTAAGATTTGATTGTTTATTTAAGCTTTGATTACATAAAAAAGTTGTCCTTTACTTGCTGATGCACTTTTATCTATTCCAGGTTTATGCTAATTTTGCTGACTGCATTCAACCCTATGAGTTTTAGATATGGCATGGGTTACTATTTTAATCTTCTCTATATAAATGACTGTGTGTGTTTGTGTGTCTGTGTGTCTGTGTCTATGTATAACTCTGGAACGCCTTGAGCAATTTCAATCAAACTTGGTACACAGATGACTTACTCTCTGGAAAAAAATACTGTGGTGGTAAGACACATCTAACACCCCTTGGGGTGTTTGTGTTCTGTTAAGATACAGCCTGTTGTGCCTTAAAATGGCTTCTACTGGACTGCCTTAAAATGGCTTCTACTGTACAGCACAGTGGAGTTGCCATGGTAATGGCTTCACAGTACTGCACAAGGGGACTCCCTCTGGTAAGGGGGAAAATCCAACATTAGAAATTATGTTTGGTCTGGACATTTTCAACAAGGCTTTGATTATTCTTGAGGACAAATGTATGGCCATGATCAATAAAACATTACTGCAACTCGGCCTGTCTGCCTGCACCACTATGAGACCGCCATGACGTACTTCACGCAGATTACATATGAGAAAAGAATTACAACACTGAACAGTTTAGTGCATATATCGCGGACAAGAAGCCACTTCTAAATCAAGATCAGAAAAAAGCATACCAAATGATCATGGATTAGCTAGCAAAACAACAAGGTGGTATCATTTTACTTGACGCTTCTGGGGGCCACAGGGAAAACATTTTTAACTAATTTAATTCTCACTGAAATCAGGGCTCAGGGTGAAGTTGCTCTTCCTGTCTAATACAGGATTGGGATGAATAAATACCCGGGCAACGCCAGGTTATCAGCTACCGTGTTTCCCCGAAAATAAGACCCTGTCTTATATTTTTTTGAACCCTGAAATAAGCGCTTGGTCTTATTGCCATGCGCGCAAAAGCCTGATTGGGCTTATTATCAGGGGATGTCTTATTTTGGGGAAAACAAGGTAGTAAATAAATAAAATTAAAAGTCTCTGATTTAAGTCACTACTGAATACCAACAACAATCAAGTTACCCTGCAGCAATTAAGCATCTGCTTCAAAGAGGATGTGCAATTACCGTACCGTAGCAAATGAAGCAATAAAATAGCATATCTCAACTTTAGCCACTCTTAAGAAGTGTGGACTTCAATTCCCAGACTTCCCCATCCAGCATTCAGCTTCCATTTATTCTTCATGATTAAGCAGGGCATTAAATGATTTCATAGACCCTGGAGTTATACATCGTCACCAGGCCAACTTTCTTTCTCTGATGAAGACTGATTCAATCAACCATAACCTCACTGACCCAGCCTTCTGGAATTGACTTTGAATACTCCAGCACAGATTCAATGCCCAGGGAGTGGGAAATTTTATGTACCTGTTCTTTCCATGCAACAGCTACCCTGCAGCGGTGAATTTGGACCCTCAGAAAATGTGTCATTGAAGTTTGTGGGCTTCTGCCTAGCTTTAATTAGGGCTTCCCAATCTTGGCAACTTGAAGACACATGGTTGGCTGGGGAATTTCGGGAGACAAACTCCATGTGTCTTAAAATTGCCAAGATTGGGAAACGCTGATTTAGGTGATCTGCGTATGCAAATATATATATAGAGAGAGAGAGCGTATTTTTCGGAGTATAAGACGCACCAGACTATAAGACGCACCTACTTTTTTTGGTGAGGAAAAGAAGAAAAAGAAATCTGCCTCTGCTTCTACCTGTGAGCAATTTTGCCTCGTTGCAGCAAACAGCAGCCTGCTTTACTTTCATTTTCGTTTTCAGCATAGCTTGATTAGCACAAGGAGAAAAAAAAATCTGCTCCAGCAATTTACCTCCTTGCAGCAAACAGCAGAGCCCTGCACAAAACAGCTGAGAGCAAAACAGCTGAGAGTCGGGAGGCCGATCCAATCAACTTGTGCTAATTAGGCTGTGCTGAAGCTGAAAGGAGTTGTTTTTTCTTGCTGTTTGCTGCAAGGAGGTAACTGCTGTGAGGAAGAGGCCAGTGGGTGGGCGGGGCTACATTTGGTGTATAAGACACACCCAAATTTTCACCCCCTTTTAGGGGGGAAAATGTGCATCTTATACTCTGAAAAATATGGTATATCCATTCCATTCCAGAATGTTTCATTTTTCTTCTCAATCAGGTCATTCCAGAATGGCTTTTTGTTGACAGAAAGAGACTGACAGTGCTCCAATCATAGCACAAGCTGGGAAAACCCAAAACTGGCTGGTTTGAGTCAAAACATGTGAGAAACACCATTAACCCTTTCCTGTTCTGAAAGGTTCATTCTTGTGCCACCTCCCAAAATGGTTAGATTGGCATTGTCCACATGAGCTACTGAACTGGGGCGATGGCTCGCGTGCCCACAGAGAGGGCCATAGGTTCACCATCATGGGTATACCATCTTCTGCTTGGGCAGGGGTTAGATTAGAGGACCTCTAAAGTATGTAACTCCTGTTATCTGTTGTGGCTCCGTTGCCTGAGCCTGGGCTATCGACAGATGCAGACTCTGAGAGTGAGGAAGAGGAGTTGGCAAGGCCTCCCTCTCCAGGACCCTCCTCTCTGGCAATGCCTCCGGAGGACACCGAAGGCCAAAAGATAGGCTCAGAGCCAAGCACGTCCCCGCAGCCACAGGTGGACAGTGACGAAGGAGATAAGTGCTGGCTGGACCCTTGCCAGAGGCACAGGGAGAAGCGTGCGCAGCAGAGGGGAAGGCGTGCCAGAGATTAGTTGAGTCACTGGACCACACCCCACAGGGTATAAATGTGGGTGTGGTGGCCGGTTCAGTTTGTGACGAGCAAAAACTGGAAATAATCCATGATCTCTGCGTTACTGGACTTTGCCTGCTTTATCAGACTGCATTTGGATTAATCCTTGTATTGTTGAAAACTCTGCCTGTTTTATCGGAATGCTGGCAGTCTAATCGTTGTTTTGTGTGAGTAAAGTCTGAATTGGCAGCTAGCCACTGGGTTGCTGCCAGCTTTATTTTCAAAGAATTTTGTCGTGTGGCTTATTAACTCCGGGCCGTCTGTGGGGGTGCGTGAGTGGAACGGGGACAGAACATTATCTGCTATCTGTTAAATATGATTTGAATAAATTCTGTGTAAACGAATTGCCACAATGCAGTTTCTAATATTTTGCAGCTTCT